CCCCCAAATCCTATCATCCCTTGCGGGCTGCGATAATAAATAAAAGTCTTTATTTCTCCCTCTCCCAAAGTTAAAGGGCCTTGTTCCCTCCCCGGGCGGCTGGAAGTGAGTAGGGGGCAGCGCGGGTTTGTCGGGCAGCTCTGCCTAAGCGCTCCCATTGCATATATGTGCGTGTGTATATATATATATATATATATTTTATTAAACGTCAGCGTTGACTTATGCGTCTCTTATCTCTGCTCTCTCCCCGATGTGTGCCTGCAGTGGGGGATTCGGCGAAGGAAGCTCGTAACATGGCGGATAGCGAAGAAGGCTTTGGGCTCCCGACCACGCCGGCTGATTCGGAGGCCAAAGAGCTCCAGGCTGAAGCCAAGCAGGACACTCAACTGGGGGCCACCAGCAAGTCCCCCACCTCGCCCCAAGCAGCCTTCACCCAGCAGGTAAGGACTCACGCTCCTCTTTCTCTCTTCTTTATTTTCTATTTTTATTTTTATTCCCCCCTCCCCTCCTTTTCTATGCGTTTTTCCCCCCAAATATCCGCTCAGCTGTGTGGCCGCTGCTGCTCTGGGCGGTGATGAGTCATTTTAGGCCCCACGGGAGTGAAAAGTCTCACCTGATGATGGGCCTCATCCTGCTTTCGTGTTATTTGGGGTCGTGTTCAAGCGCTAAACCTGCCGGCGTGCCCACGCGGGAATATTGGGGTACGTGGAAGGGCAGGCAGGGAAAAGCACCCCAAAATACAGGGGAGAGGCACCCGCTCCTGCAGCGGTGGGTGCATCCCCACAGGCGTCCACGCGTGAGTGTACACACGCGAACACACACAGACAGCTGCGTGGATGTGTTTGCTATGGACTTACGAATGCCCGTGTGTATTTATATAGGTGTATAAATATATATATATATATGCGCACCCCTTGTACGCCCGGGCGCATGTATGCACATGCAATACAGCCGCACTCGTGCGCACACAGCTCTCCCCGCACCCACGCAACGGGGCCCTGAGAGTCGACAGGGGGTGTCACGCGTGGGCACCCCCGCAGCGACCCCGTGGCTAGGCACACCCTTGGGTGCCCCTCATCAGCCCTCGTCGTCCCCCCCCCGCGCCTTCCCCCCCGGGAGCTGCGGGGTACCGGGCCA